CAGCCACACAGGTCTTGGGCCTGTGTCCAGACTGGCTTGCAAGACCATACTTCCTGGTCACTGTTCCACAATCTTTTAGTGGGAATACCAGGTATACATAGCTACTTGACCCAGCAGGTTTGGACTTGTCATGACACTATTTAAAATGAGTGATTGATCAAAATCAAATTAATCACTTCATTCCTTCCCCCTAAAAAATGAATTATTTGCAATATAAATTTGAATCTGATTTATAATTCTGATTAAGGTGTACACTATTAGTGTGATAAACATATAATTGGCATCTGTTATTGATGAATTTAGAAAGAGAAATCACAAACTTGAATATGGTTGAATTTCTGTGATGTTCTAAATGTATTTCTACAGGGGCTACAAAACCAAAAAAATAGAGCTTCCCTTGATCTGATTGTGAATCAAATCTGTAACATTTGTTCCAAAAAACTGCTGAGGCCATGAAAATTTTATTCAATTAGCAGGTTTTATTTTTTTATTTGAATCAGCAGCCTTATCTTTGGGGGGAAACTAGGTGTAAGCAAAAGGGAATTTTAGAGGACATTCATTTTCTTTTCTGGGAAATTAGTAGTAAATTCTGGGTAAAATCTAGTGACTTTCTTGTGAGTCCCATTTTCTATCATGATCCTTTTAGTGATTTTTACAAAAAAATTCAAATCTTCCAGGGTGACTTATTTGTGATTTGCAGTCACTGGAAAGCCAGTGCCCTGAAATTTCCCCTGGTGCGCCCTTGGTGCATCATCATTGGTTCTGTCTACTGAAGTCAAAAAAACGCTTCTGCTCCTGAGATTTTTGGCTGTGTCTGATCGATTATCAACTGACTATCATCAGACACTGTATATGGTATTATGCTATGACCAATACTTTGGTTAGTTTGAACTCACATTCTCTCCTAATCACAGATATTTATCTAAATTGCATCTCATATCACATATTTCTTGATCTAGGTTGTCACCTCAACCAATATTGAAAACGGTGAAAACCAGAAGATAGATCTTGAGGTCATCAATAGTTCAACCCACAAGAAATTCTATCAATCCAAGAAAGATCTCCAAGGAGAGACTTGAATAGCAATCACTACCCACAATGATGCCAATCTGGGTGTCTGTTTCACAAATCAACTTGACTCTTGTAATTGATCATTCCTATGTTGATCTGTCCAGAAATCTTGGATCTGATAAAAGCTTGCTGATCCTCTTGCTCTTTGATTGATCCAATACAAGATGTCCATCCTGCCTGTCCACCTCAAAAATGGAGTATTGATTTCAATGTTGACATTGGTGCAGATGCTGTTGATTATAACACAATCACTAAGGCTGAATCATTGTCTGGTCTGGAAGTTGAGATGAGGGAACTCAAGGGAATCGTTACGATCATAAAAGAAATTGTCAAAGAACTAAATTACTTGAAACGGAGAGAAGCCAAGATGAGGGATACAAATGGAACGTAGCCTTACTGCACTTATTGTCCTCTCTTTTTTTACGTTTTGGGATCTAATCAATCTATCCATTGCAATCCATTATCATAAATCAAAAACTGGGACAAACTTTTAATAGGATCAACAAATGCCAGGGTCAAGAATTTTACAATCCTCACCTGTGTCACTCCAATTCTTTCATTCCAAATGGAGGAAAAAACGTTCACATCCTCCATTTGGAATGAACATCCAGCTCCACCCAGCTCTCCCAGCTCCTTTTTCCAGCTCAGGTAGCTGGATTGCAACTGTGGGTTTAATATTGGTATGACTTCCCGCAGCCCAGCCATTATAGTCTGTTGAACCTCAGCCCTTGGGCTGAGGTTGTGGGTTCAATTCCCACCCTGGCTAGGGGTTGGGTTAGGGGGTTAGGGGTTTAGGGGTTTAGGGGGTTAGGGGGTTAGGGGTTTAGGGGTTTAGGGGTTTAGGGGTTTAGGGGTTTAGGGGGTTAGGTTTAGGGGGTTAGGTTTAGGGGGCTAGGTTTAGGGGGTTAGGTTTGAGGGTTAGGTTTTACGGTTAGGTTTTAGGGTTAGGGTTAGGGGTTAGGGGTTAGGGTTAGAGATGGTCGGTCCGCATCCGGATATCCGTTTGGATGCGGATAACCGATGGCGATTTCAGAGAAATTGCACATCCGCATCCGCACCCGCACCCGCTAGCGGGTATCCGTCGGCCGCAGCGGGTATCCGAGCGGGTATCCTCGGATACCCACCCTCTAAAGGGCCGGCGACGGACCGGCTGGAAGGGCTTCCTTCCAGCCGGCCATCTCCCCTTCCGGCCGCGGGTATCCTTTGGGGTACCCGGATACCCACCAGCGATTTGCGGAAAAGGGGCCATCCGCACCCAAATCCGCACCCGCTGGCGGGTATCCGTTGGCACAGGCGGGTACCCGCCAGCGGATAACGGGTATCCGCGACGGATACCCTTCGACCATCTCTAGTTAGGGTTAGGGGTTAGGGTTAGGGTTAGGGGTTAGGGGTTAGGGGTTAGGGGTTAGGGTTAGGGGCTAGGGTTAGGGTTAGGGGTTGGGGGTTAGGGATGGGGGTTACAGTTTATCCAGCTCATCCAGCTCTAATCCAGCTCCAAGCCAGCTCATCCAGCTCCAATCCAGCTCATCCAGCTCACATATCCAGCTCATCCAGCTCACATATCCAGCTCACCCAGCTCCAATCCAGCTCAGCCAGCTCACATTCAGCTCAGCCAGCTCACATTCAGCTCATCTAGCTCATATTGAGCTGAGTGAGCTGGGTGGAGCTGGGCATATCCAGCTCCACCCATTTTTCCATTCCAAATAGAGGATGTGAACATTTTTTCCTCCATTTGGAATGGAAGAATTGGAGTGACAAACCTCACAATCCTAACCGTAACTGTCTTAATTTCATCTGGAATTTGGCAGATCTGGTACTTGAGTAGAATATGTGGGTAAATGGCGAGGGCTGTTCCCCCGATTGGACAGCACAAATGTATCAGTGAAAGTGACAACAATTGAAGCATTTGGATTTTGTGTAAAGAAGGAGTCTACACGGTGACTAACACAGATACAATATGAGGATGTCCTTGTGATTGGGTGAAATGTGGGAGATAACCAAGAGCTTAAATTTGGTTCAAGGAGTAAGATAAGGACAGGTTGAGATTGGTCAAAAGGGTGTAACATCATGTACCAGAAGTAAAGGTTAGTATGAAATAAATGTAGAATAAACAAAAATGCAGCAATTGATGTATGAAAAGAAGAGGATGATGAGTGAGATGAGATGAGACAATCAATATCTGGGATGAGAAAGCAGAAGTATGGACTGAAATAGTATATTTAGTCTGACTAAGTGGTATCTGAGATGAAATAACTAATGTTTACTGAAAGATTATTATCATAGAAAGAAGGTACTGAGGGAAGACTGATTTGTATCTTGAGATGTGTGATATGTAGTATGTTGTAGCTATGTAGTACTATATATTATATAACCAAATTATGTGTAAAAATACTATTTTGTAACCTTCTGAACTGGATACAAGATAATTAATTATGTAGCATATGTATATCTGATTGCAATATGAGGGAAACTACTATAAATAGCTATTTTGTACTATATATGACCTTGATTGGTCTCACCACATTGGTCAGACTGCTGCCTCTCCTGCACTCTTTGTCGGCACAACAGCATTCAAATTGATTGTAAAACAGCAGATCAAATGTCTTGAGGATCCCGCGTTGAAGTGCTATCATCCATGTCTCATTGCGTTTACAGGCTGCAAGATCAACACACTGGCTCCTCATCCCCTTCCTATCACCTATGTCTCATCAAGTTTACAAGCTGCAAGATCAACACACTGGCACCTCATCCCCTTCCATCTCCCTCTCCTCCTGCCCTACTAGATCATCATAATCCTGAGCCTAATCATTGATTCTCTTTCCAATTCTTCAGATGCTGCGAAGATTGTGAAAACCACAGGTGTCATTTGAGCAAAAAGCAATCATCGTTGGCATGTCAAAGGCCTGAATGAAGCCAAAAAAGATCTATCAACAGACTGGTATTGGCCAAACAACAGTATCTTCCATCATTGCCTGATCACTTGCTTGTGGGACCGTTTCAAGGCAGCCTGGATCTGGCAAACATCCCAAGAATAGAAAGACCGACCTCCACCTGCTTGGAAGGATTCTCAAGGAAAACCCTCACATGAAGATGGCAGAGGTTTAAGACCAACTTGCTGTTCTGATCAGTACCCAAACCGCTAGACAAAGAGCTCATGAGCTTGGTTTCAAGAATTGGGTGGCTGTGAAGAAGCCTTTCCTCACCAAAACCCACGAGCAATGTCGCTTGCAATTTGCCAAACCTTACAAGGACTGGAGGAAGATAGTGTGGAATGACGAGTCCTCCTTTGAAATTGGAAAGATTTCTCAGAGCATCTCTAGTGGACCCGCGATTGGGCCACCGGGGGCGAACTTTAACCGCCCAAGTTCAAAAATTGACCTCCAACAGACCCGCGGATCAACCCGGAAAACATTGCGGGGGGCAGTCAAACCCGCGATGACCTGCTGACTTCCGCGGGTCACCTCCCAGCCGCAATAAGTTCCTTCATCTCCAATCACCATCACCACACCTCCATCAAAACACCACACCAACACATGAACCACGTTGCCTGGAAGAATCTCCGGTAGCCAGGCGGTACCTGCCAGGAGTACCGCCAGTACCCGTCATACTTGAGCGGGTGCGGTACCTGGTGTCCGTTTTGGCTGAAAAAAGCAGGTGGTACCCGGGTATCAACGGGTACCCGGGTCCCATGGGGCCATCTTTAGACTGCTCCAAAAAAAACCAAAACTTTGGCTAATCCACAGCTGACTGAAGCTTCAAACATCAACAGTTGGATTTGAGTGACTGGTGGCTGAGTGACGATGTCTTGGCCCAGCCTCCTCCCTCAAGCGCGTCCTTGACCGCAACCGCGCCCACAGATTGTGCCCGTTGTCGTGTTATTACGCATGGAATGAGTAGGAACGAGTGATGGTTTGCTGATGCTTGTCTGATCAGGTGATTGAGCAGCCAGGTGGGCATCTGAGGATGAGAGTACTAAGCCGGACTAGCCATCTGGGATCTTGAGTCCCATGAAGATATCTCCCCCTGAAAGATCCCTCGTAGCACTCTAGCTGCTCCCCAGCTTCTGCTGGTTTGTTATCAGTAGTGCTGCTAGAAGAAGCTTCGTTGGTCAAGACTGTCCTGGTGAGGAAGTCCTTCGATATCTCCGCCAGCACATGGTAATCAATCAAGAAGGGAATCAGATCAAGTTTATCTCCTCCTGCTATGGCCTGTCCCCCCTTCTGGCTCTTTATTGAGTTCATGGGTGTGTCTTATCAGGATTGATGCCCTTGGTTGAGTCTGCATGGTGCTTGAGTGGTCGACTATGTTTGTAGTATGAAGCAGAGGAGAGTTGGATGGCGGGTCACAAATAAGTGCCAGACCACAATTGGAGCTGGCCCGCGACTCGTGTGAAATGTGTTTGCGGGCTGGGGAACGTGAGTCAATTGCCCCCCGGACCGCTAGAAATGCTCTCAACAGGTTGTTGTTTGGAGAAAACCCAAGGATAAATATAAAAAAGAGTATCTAACTCCAACATTCAAGAGTGGTCGGACTTTGACAATGGTCTGGGGAGCGTTTTTTGGAACCACTTGTGCCCCTCTCATGATCATCCCCCCAGCCAAAAAAAAGGCTGAACAATTCATTAAGAACGTCTATGAGAAGGCCTGGATCCCCTTCCTTGAAGAAAACAACCCCAACCATGAACTCACTCTCATGGAGGACAACACCTTGGTCCACACCGCTAAGCTCAGCCGTGAATTCCTTGACTCGTATTCAATCAAGAAAGTTGACTGGCCAGCACAATCACCTGACCTCAACCCCATTTAAAACGTCTGGAAGGTCCTCAAGAGTAACATTCAAGAGCTCTACCAGCTGCAATCCATCCCGGGAATGCACGAGGCCCTCCACCAAGCCTGGGCCAGCTTCCACATCCTTGACCACCTCATCAAATCAATGCCACATACAATGGCAGCCGTCATCGAGGCAAAGGGTGGTTCCACCCAATGGTAGAATAACACTCCTTTGTATTGTTTGTGACTTAGATTGAACAAAAAAACTGAAAAAGACATAAAAAAAAGCATAAAAGACAAAAGAAAAAAGAAAAAAATTAAAAAAACAATAGGGGGTATCAAATATAGGAAATCCACCATCAGAAACCAGTCACTTTTCCAAAAACTTTTTTTGCATAAATGGGCCCCAAAAGGGGTTAAATGGATAACCAACATGTTTAAAAAAGGGTGGATTTTTTCAAACCAGTCAATTAATTAATGGTGGATTTGGTTATATTTGATACCCCCTAATAATATTTTTTTTTGAATTATTTTTATATTCTTTCTTCTCCACTCTCAGCACATCCCCCCCCCCCCAATTTTGGGTATTTTTAGCATCAATATTGAAAAAACTACAAAATTTGATTTTTTTCAACAATTTTTATCTTTTTTTTGACTGCATGTGTAATTAATTTGTGTTAAAATTAACAATGCATTTTTCAGACAGTACAAAGAAAATAAATGACTTGGGCAGTATATGAACCAGCGACCTTAGCTTGAAGCTAACAGACTATACTAGAAGTGCTGCCTTTACCAACTAGGCTACCAAGTCCATGCCTGATGTGCTGATATTTAGAAGAGTCTGGATTACAGAATTCCAACAATTTGTTTCTATATTCTTTTTCCCTGACCCACTGTGCCCCCGTGTCAAACAAATTGGAATGGAAAAGTGGCTCCTTGCCTTCTAAAAAAATATAAATGGGACACCATTTTTCACTGTCTAGGCAGTACTGTACACTCCAAGCAGGAAATGAAATATGGTTATGTTTATAATTAAATATGCTAATAAACAGGTTTAAGACTTGAAACTTATTTATTGTTTCAAATACACATTTGTATATTGATAACACATGTGTGGCACATTTCCAAGGAGATGGTCACATGTTTCAGCCTCCCTGTATGAAGCGCCCACAAGTTGACCCTGATCTCCCAGATTCCTCCTTGGGTATTTAAAGGGCCCTCTGTCGACCCAAAAACCAGGGGAGTGATAATCACACTCCACCCCCCTTCGCACACACACTCCAACACTCCCTTCAGAGAAGGGAGTGTGGGATCGCACGCCAATTTCGATTGGCGTGCAATGCTGCACGCCAGCCGTTAAGCGAGGTTGCCTTGCTTGCAGGCAGGCGTGCAGCCAGCGATTCCATATGCCTTGACCTAAACCCATATTCATATGGGTTTAGGTCGAGGCATATCCCATTTATGGAAAGACGGTCCGACCGGTTCAAACCTTGAACCTACATGGGTTCAAGGTTTGAACCCTGATGGCCATTGGCCAAGGTTTGGCGAGGAAACCTCGCTTAACGGCTGGCGTGCAGCATCGCATGCCAATCGAAATTGGCGTGCGATCCCACACTCCCTTCCCTGAAGGGAGTGTTGGAGTGTGTGTGGGCTGGCGTGTGGGTTTGGACGCCAATTTCGATTGGTGTGCGGTCCCACATTCCCTTCAGAGAAGGGAGTGTTGGAGTGTGTGTGCAAAGGGGGGTGGAGTGTGATTATCACTCCCCCAAAAACCAGGTTCCTCAGATTATTACAACCCACTTTAGATTACCCACCATCCCAAATTCTTGACATTTGTATCTGTCTGTTAATGTATTGTCTCTTGCTTTAATTCTCTGTCTACCAGAACTTCAAGATTTAAGGGGCATCATTAGTACATAATTATGCTCCCTTCTTTCTTGAGATTCTTACTACTTTCTTCTGGGATTTAAACAACACCTTTTAACAGGCCCCAGTGTTATCAGGTACCTAAATCCTCTGCTTTTTGCACAATACTTTTGAGGGATTAAACCACCCCTGATTTATCAGGCCCCTCTGTTTAAATTATATCAATGTTTATTGATATAATTAATCATATCTACTATTTATAAACCTTTTAATTACCAATCATCATTGGAATTACCACCCGGAATCTTTAGTCCCAGAGTTCAAACTCTAACATCTTAAGTTTTGCATCACATGTAGCTAGAAGGGATACTCCCTGGCATCACGGTGGCTGACAGTAATATACACATGAACATTCAACAGGTACCCCTATATCACGGGCACTAAAATAATGATGCATCTTATACAACATTATGCATACACTCCAAAACTTGTCACGGATCTGGAGTGTTGTGTATAGTTTAGAAGTTAGAGCAGTGTGGCATGTACTGTCTCCAAGCCCGCGCGCCGCGTAGTCATGCTGCACACTGTTGACAGGTGCGCCTGACTAAAATTGAGCCCAGTAATCAAGCCCCCACGTGTGCTAGGTATGCATACCCACCTTGTATACATGCATAACCCCCCCTGGGTTACCAGTATCCAAAAAATGGGCCACAAAAGCCCCAGAATAGAGATGTCAGCGGGTACCCGGTACCCATTTGCGGGTACCTGTTTTCCAAAGCAGGTACCCGGAAACGGGTACCGGGTGCGGGTGCGGGTGTCAACATTTGCAGTAAAAACAGGTGCGGGTGTCAACATTTGTGGTAAAAAAAAGGCAGGTACCGGGTACCTGCCTTACACCCGCCCTGGGAATGCTTCCCCTGAAGAATTTAATTTATCATTGGTGGTCCAACACTCCTTTTTTTGGGTGTGTTGGGCTGCAAAAAGGTGTCAGCAACCCATGTAGGACACCAGCTGGTGTCCTACATGTGTTGCTGAACTAATCTGGTTGTTTTGTTGAGGCCGGAGGGTTCCCTCCGGCCTTTGAGATGGTTTACAGTCTTGATGACTGGAGTAATTCCTCCAGTCATAAAGATGGTGTACAGTCTTCATCAATGGAAATTGAATAAGGAAAATGAGGCCAAGCAAAAGGGTCAATCTAAAGATAGATCAGAGAGAAGATAAAAGTCAAATTGGTGATAGAATAATTTGTTTTTCTTTATTTCTTTATTTTTATTGTATTCTTACTCATATATCTAGTGAATATCAATCTTATATTTACCAAGTCATGCAGAAATTCAAGGGTGAGATTTCTGGGTATATTTGCCTGCAAAAATGTGCCAGGTACCCGCAGGTACCCGGGTACCCATCCTGGCGGCCCTAGCAGGTGCGGGTGCGGGTGCAGGTGTCAAAAATATTGGATTTTTGAGGCAGGTACCCGCACCCTCTACAGGTACCCGGGTATCGAGCAACATCTCTACCCCAGAATCCTCAGTGCACATGACAACAAAGCCCCCACACATGTAATAAAAATGTAAGTAAGCTAGAATATTCATGGAAATACTACATTAACTCAGAATATTCCATATTCCAAGTGGTAGCACATGTAGCAAGCCTCAGAAACCAGCTCTTGAATATTCTGTGGCCTATTTCCAAGGAAATAGCTCCACGTAACAGACTAGCCCCTACCCACAGGCTCCCAAGGTATATTCTTGGTTCAAATAAATTTGTGCATGACCCCTTGGAGCTTCTATAATATTATCCCCAAGTTTTCAGCCTATTGAAATCTCGGTGAAACCTGAATGTACTGAGGTAACCCAGTAGCACTGACTAGAACCCTCAAATCTAGCCAATCAACCAGTTAGGGTTGAAATCATCTGGACTTAAATGACCGCTTGTCCTTGCTCTCCTCTCTGATCCTCAATCTCGTCAAGACTTGTCAAGATTTGACACTCTTCAAATACTCAAGATCCCAATACCTTACAACTCGCCGATACTGGTCAAATAAGCCCAGTGTAAAGTTCCTCAATCCTAAAGACTCTGGCCCAAAAATCACACCACTCATATCCTTGTCTCTTTTCTCCTATCTGCTCATCAAGTCTTCATCGGTTCTCAAAAATAACTCACCCAATCTATTCATTGCTAATTTCACATTGTTTGTTTCTTCTTCTTCTATTTTTTCTTTCTATCATTGTTTCACCTCTCTTCTTTGTTTGATGATCAACTCACTATTTCTTATCCTTCTTTATTTTTTTTCTTTTTGTCTCTACTTTTTTGAGACTTTCTGCTCATTGCTAGCGTGATTGTGCTTGTCATCAAAGTCCTCATTTGTCATCAACTCTTTCCATCTATAATAGTGGTATGCCTTGAATTCTTTTCTGTCATCTTTTTCTTTTCTATTGTCTTGTGATCATTGTTTTAACCTTCTATTTCTTTTTAGTCTGGTTTTAGGTTCTTAGAAATTTCATTATCATTTCTTCACAGCCCTTGTTACGTCACCAGGTGGGCTAAAATGGGCCCAAAATCACTCCCAAGTCCTACTAAGCTCCCCTGGGCAACCCCTAAGGCTT